CTACCACTGAGCTATACCCTAGTCCTGGTCCTATGAGTTTGACAAATGAATACAAAGCATGTACCCATCACCACAATCAAGAAGCAGAGTATTTTTGCCACTCCAAAAGCATTTTTGCGTCCCTTGCAGCCCCTCTCCTCCCTCTGGAAAGCATTCGTCTGATTTCCATCTCCACGCTTTTTACCAAGAGTGCCTGAGAGACAGAATCACAGTGTGTGGACTTTCACGCCTGGTTTCCTTCACTAAGCATAATGCATTGGAAATTCATCCATTGATTGCACGTATCAGTGGTTTGCTCCTTTGTATTGCTGAGTAGCAGACCATCATTCAGATGTGTCACAGATTGATTTTCCACTCAACAACTGATGAACATTTGAGTTGTTTCCAGCTCAGGGTGATAATAAACACTCCACACAGATGTTTGTGGAATACCTTCTTTTCTCTTGAGAAATACCTAGGAGTTGGATTGCTGGAACTTATTTATGTCTAACTTTATAAGAACCATTTTCCAAAATGGCTGCACCATTTTGCATTCTCCATCAGCAATGTATGAGAGTTCCAGCATCCTCACCAGCAAGTGATAGGATCTTGGTTTGCTGCTTTTTAAAAAGTATCTCCTGTGAGTATGTAGTAGTGTTTAATCTTGATTTTAATTTAAATTTTCCTATTGATTCATGATACTGAGCATTTTTAATGTGCTTATTAATAATCTGTGTCTCCTCTTAGCTGACACACCTAAGGAAAAATTATTTTTCCTTATTTATTATTTATTTTCTTGTTATTAAAATTTTAGGATTCTTTAGATATTCTGGATGAAATTCCTTTATCATTTTATGTTTTTCAATATTTTCTCTTTGTCTATGGCTTGTCTTTTTACTTTCTTACCAGCATCTCTCAAAGAACAAAAGTTTTTAATTATGTCAAAGTAAAACCATAGTGGTTACTATGGTTGAAGAATTGAATTTTTAATTTCATTTAACTTTAATTAAATTTTAATTAATTTAAAATTAAACAGCCACATGTAGCTATAGTATTCGACAGCACAGTACATTAACACCTAAACACACTTTCAAAGGAAATGGGTACAGTTTTCATCACCTATTGCTTTATCACAACTTAAGAACATGTTGATCCATGATGGTTTGGAAATTTAAAAACCAGATCCTTCACCATGCAGTCTGAGAAGCATTGAGCTAGACAGATAACACAGTATGGATAAAAGCCATGTCTTCCTGACAGGGACCTTTTTCACTACAAATTCACAGAGTCCATTCTAGAGAAGGAAGTGGTTGATGTGCACAGAAGTGGAGGACTATTCTTGATAAGGTTGCCAGGGAAAACCTGTCCAAAATGGTGGCCTTAGAGATGGAATAAAGACATTACAAGTAAGGGGCAGAATAGGTGGCATGGAAAAGGGTGTGGTGTGTTCTAGGAACAGAAGGAGACTAGTGTAGCCAGATATTGGGCACAGAGGATAATGGTGAGATGTCACATGGCCACACAGACTGGTATGTCTTCTCTTCCTTCCTAGATCAGTGATAAGAGTTAATATAGCACTGACCTTGGATATAGATTGGACTATGGAGGGGCTAGCTGGAAGAGACATGAAAGAACTTTGAGTGGCAGAAATAGTCTGTATCTTGATTGTGGTGCTGAATACAAATCCTATATTCAAAATGCACTGGAAGATAAAACCAAGTATAATCTTATATTGGGCTTTGGCTGTTAAAAAAAAATCTCAATGTTTGTAGCCCACAAAGTGGACTGAAAAATAACAACAGTCAACTCTCACAAAAGTTAGGGAATGGGTCTCCCATGCCACAGATTAAGATGCTGAGGCTTAAGAAGTTATACAGCCTGCCCAAGTGACACACCTAACAAGAAACAAACTCAAGTTCATGTCCTTTACACTATATTTGACTTCCTTTTCCAAAATGAGCCCAAAGCAGCCCTCTTACAAACATGAAAATGTCTATGTATTTTATTGGGTTTGAATAATGATAAATGCTCACAGAAACCTGACAATTTTGGAGACTTTGCATTTATTTTGAAAGCTCCTTCTTCATATTAACTTCCTAAAACTGCAGTAAATGATCACACACATTATAGCTTCCAATAACAAAAATGTTTTCTTTACAGTTCTAGAGACCAAAAGCTCAAAGCCAAGGTGTTGGCAAAGCCTCACTCCATCCAAAGGTTCTAGGGGACAATCTGTTCCTTACCTCTTCCTGTTTCTGGTTGTTTCCAGTGTTCCTCGCCTGTGGTTGCATCATTCTAGTCTCTGGCTCCATGTCCACACAGCCTCCTCTAGGACACTTGTCATTGGACTCAGGCACCACCTGGATAACTCAAGCTTCTTACCTTAATTATATCTGCCAAGACTCCTTTCCTAAATAAGGTCACACTCACAGGTCCTGAGGATGGGAAGGTGGACATATCTTTTTGTGAAACATTCCATAAACCACTCAGTCCACAACCTACTCTATTCACAGGAGCCTGGAAACTCGGGTGTAAACTAGACAGTCATCAGGCTGACCTCATTTGCTATTCCCAGGATCATTGTCCTGCATTGTCTGCTATCTGACAACTGTGCTTTGGCTCTGCTGCCCAGTTTCTTAGTTGCTTAAGACAGGAGGGCAAATAAATCCTGTGACTCCAGCATGTCAAGAAGCAGAAGCTGCACCCACAGGTACGGCTCATTTGAGCATGGGGGCCTTCCCTATCATGCATCATCAGACTCTAGACATGACAGGAACACAGTTCTCCTCCCACAGCAATGGATAAATTCATGATCAGATGATGTTCATTAAAACACTGTGTTTTTCTCTTGTTTGGGGCTGAGTGGCAACAACTCCTTTTACCTCTGTCCCTTGGATGAGCTAGTGCCATTTCTCTTTAGCTGGGAATCTGCTTCTATAATTAACAGTTTGATCCCCAATCCACTCTTAGCCCGCTCACTTTGGCTGTTATGGTTAATGTAAGAAACTGGTGCTGGGAAATTAAGAGACTTTCCGATGGATTCTACTTTGGGTTGTGACTTCTACCTGTGCAAAAAGAATACAGGCATTTTGAAGCCCAGAGCTGACATGGGAAAGAAGAATAAGTTACAGCACTATCGAGTGAGCAATAGTCCTGTTGAGTAAGTGGTAGTATTGTCCCACAGAAGTGAGGCCCTCTAATTTGTTAATGGAAAATAAATGATGAGCACTAAAAATATGAGGTAAGAGACAAGAAAAGAATCTGCCTGTCAAGGAATACAAATTATTAATCAGATTGACCCATGTCAAAACAAATCTGAGGAGCCAGACATTGTGGTGCATGCCTGTAGTCCCAATACTGGGGAGGCTGAGACAGGAAGATCATGAGTCTGAGACCAGCCTGGGGTTCATAACGAGACTCTGTCTGAAAAAATAAAAAGTGAATAAACAAACAAACAAGCAAATTTAAGGGCTGGGGGTGTAGTTCAGTGGGAGAATGTTCACCTAGCATATATGAGGCCCTGAGTTCAATCCCCACCACACACACACGCGCACACACACACACACACACACACACACACAGGCTATATGCAGAAAAAAGCACCTTCTCCTTTTATTTCCACATTCATACACTAATTATTTAACAGAAAAGTTATTAGCTAGCATTTGTTACCCTTAGCGCAGAGAAACTAAAGCAGATACCTTAAAGCAACTGAGGCCAATAGGAGAAGGGGACCAGGAACTAGAGAAAAGTTTAGATAAAAAAGAATTAACCTAGAAGGTAACACACATTCACAGGAAATCAATGTGAGTCAATGCCCTGAATAGCTATCCTTATCTCAACCAGCAAAAACCCTTGTTCCTTCCTATTATTGCTTATACTCTCTCTTCAACAAAATTAGAGATAAGGGCAAAATTGTTTCTGCTGGGTATTGGGGGGGGAGAGGGAGGGGGCGGAGTGGGTGGTAAGGGAGGGGGTGGGGGCAGGGGGGAGAAATGAACCAAGCCTTGTATGCACATATGAATAATAAAAGAAAAAAAAAAAAGAAAATATACCCCAAACCACTGAATTGTACATTTTAAAGTAACTAAAATGTTAACCATTGAATCAATGGAGTGGCTGAGTGGTAGAGCACCTGCCTAGCAAGTGTGAGGCCCGGAGTTCAAATCCCAGCACTTCCAAAAAAAGGTAAACTTTGTTATGTGAATTTAACTTTTAAAAAAAATCTACCAAACGAAAAAAAAAAGAAAAGAAAAGTTATTTGACATAGCACTTATGACAGCATCTACTGTATGGCTATTTGACATATTCAAAAGTCTAGCTGTGTCTACAATGAAGAGCTTGTGTTTATTAACTTATGAGGCTTTTTATTACAAATATAAAATAGATACTTGTTATAATAAGCCCCAAATCCAGAGACTGACAAAGAACAAGTCAGAAACCCCCTGCTCTAATTGCAATCCCCTGAGGTAACCAAGATTAACAAGTTAGTGTCTTTCCTCAGCGTTCCTGTGAACATATATAAACATATGTACATATTGTGGGTGGTTGCTGGTTTCATGCAAATGCAAACAAATAAAATGTCTCCATTGTTTGTTTCATTTAGCAAGATATTAGTGGCACCCCTGCCAGAGGAGTAATACGGTTTTCTTCCGTTTTTCAAATAGAGGGTATGAATTTTCTATCATTTACTAAGCTGCTCCTCAAATGATGCACATCTGGGGCCTCCCTGGGCTTCACCACACATAATGCTGCAGTAAACACCTTGCCACTTGAGCCCTGAAATACAAACTTTCAAATTCCACTTCCTTCCCACATCTCCCCTGTCAATCAGAGACCAGCCCCCAAGGGAGACCAAAGATGAGCTGCAAAAGAGGATAATTGCTCCGCATAGCAAGTGGCCAGCAGCCTCCTGCTACAATATTTACGTCCTACCCCATTGAGCTGGCTCTCTGCGCTCACATGACCCAATGCAGTTCTCACTCCACCAAGAGCAGCGCAGGCTGCACTGGCAGCTTTGCACATGCTCCGTCAGGCCCTGTGGATCCCCACTCACCCATTGAGATTTCTGGTGGCTTAAAGTGACGTTCCGGCTGCTGAAGCTCTATGACCTGCAGCGTTTTCCTGGCCCAGATCCAAGGCAAGTAACCCCCATGAACATTGTTTTTTAAGGTTTGGGCTGTCTGTCTCTCTGCTGGGAGGTGGAGGGTGTACAGTACTTACAAGTGTAGCTGATGAATGAGGCTGGAAGAGTAACTCTTCCTGGCAGCTATAACAAGTAGATTTACCTATTTTCGTCCTTTGCCTTGACAACAACCTGCAGGTCTGATGCGTGCTTAATTCTCATGCAAGAGTCTTGGCAAGCGATGCCATATCTGACTATTGTGTGCAATGCAATGTGTGAGATGGTGCTTTCTCCTCTCTAGAGATCTGCATGCGTTTTGCCATTCGGATGGTAAATGATGAGACAGACTAACATGGATTTCAGCACCTCTTCTGTGTTTGATCAGCAAAAAGGTAAAATGATGCTTTAATATATCATCTGGCATCATTAGTCCAGTGACGGGGATTTTCAGTTGTAAGGAGAAGTGTGTGTGTGTGTGTGTGTGTGTGTGTGTGTGTGTGTAGAATATAGAAAGAGGAGTTCGTCTAATAAACAAACCTGTTCTGAATGTCCATTTTCTAATTTGATAGTCATTTGGAAGAGAAAAATAAGCTTATGGTCTTTCTGTCTTGCTGAAGTATTCCTACCCACAAATTCTAAAAATTGGGTTTAAAGCACACTAGATTTTGTAGATAGTGTCATTTTTATTGTTTTAAAAATATTTAGAGAAAGAAAAATAAGAATACATCACATGTCTCTTTTCAGTCTGTGAACCCCACATCTAATTGTTGTGGCTACACGAGCCTCCCGTAAAGAGTAGAGGTTGCCCATATATATGGTGTGGGAGAGACTATCTCATCCAAGATGGCTTAAGAGTTTTTCACTGTGCTGTCATTTGCAATGGCAGGGTATATCTTCTTTACTCATTATTTTCAGAGTGGAAGTAATTTTCCACATGCAAAGTTTGCTGTGAAATTAACTCTCTTCATAGGAAGGATGTACATAGCCATACAGTCAACATACATATGTTTTGCATATGCAGTGTGCATGTATACATGTCTATATAATATGTGTAATTATGCCTCTTTTCCATGTACAATCGGGAAAGTTCCATTCTTTAAATATATAAATATTTTTAGAATCTCTTTTAAAATATCTGCTATCTGAACCACTTCCTATAATCTCTGAATGTTCTTCACGACCCTAAATTCCTTTGGTAATTTCCCTTGTTTTGGCCACCACATGAAATGGTGGTTTGTGAAAGCCTTTTTATGAGAATTCGTTCCTTCTTTCTTTCCTCTTTTTGGGCTCAAGACCATAGTGTTTACCACCCCTCAGTCTACATCTGGCTTTATGGATGGATTATTTTAGCTTTGTGTTTCTCAAATAATACTTTGGATTTCTGAGTTGATTGTATATATTTTTATATACAGTGGCTTTTCCAGGTCTTGGCTCACCTTGATAGTGTGTGTGTCAGTGTGTGTATGTGTGAGTGTATCCGGCTCTGGGTCTGTGTGTGTACATGTGTGTGTGTGTACATGTGTGTGTGTGTGTGTGTGTGTGTGTGTCCACCTTCAGAATGTGCTGGTTTGCTCTGTTTTATACAAACAGTGAAAAGAGGATTATTACTGCTCTGCCCTTCCACCCTTTCTTCTTTGTACATTTGGTACCACCAATGGCAATCAATACAAGTGAAAATCTGCTTAGAACCAAAACAGTCCTACTGGTTAAAAAATGACGTTGTTGAGTATGCAATCCACAGAAAAACAAAAGGGGTTTATTTTTGAGGGCTAATTTGAGGGAGCTGGGACTGACTGCAGAACTAACCCTTCAGAATGAATTATTCTGTTCCGATGTGACACTTGCTAACAGAAATGAACCCAAAACATAGCTAAAGAATTAATTTATAATATTTATTTTATACACCTTTCATATGAATAACTCACAACAGTTCTTCCACGCTCGACCTGATTCTCCCCATGACTGTAAACCCTCTCCTTGCACCTCTATTTTTAGCACTTTTCTCTCCAGAGGTGCTAGGACATGATGGAAACATCAGGGCTTCTAAATCTTACAGACAAAGGCAGATCAGCTACTTCTTAGTTGTGTGACCTTGGCAAGTTACCTAAACTCTCTGACCCTTAGTTTCCTCAGCAGTAAAATGAAGAAAATGATGTTTAAGTAGCAAGGTTGTTGTGAGGCTCTAGAACAGACAGAAGAAGCGCCTGCCACATTGCCTGATGTTTTGCTGCTCTTGTTCTTGGTGGTTCATTACCACCTTGGATTAGAAATTCCTCAAATGCAGAATACTATTGACTTTTCAATCACCATCTTGAATTTAATGATCCTTAGGTTACATGAGGGCTTAATTAGTCCTGAGTGACTAGATTACCTTAATTATATTTTTCAGAGCTCCAGGGTACCATTTAGAGCAAGCTCTAGAGCAACAATTAACAAAATGATACCCGAAGAGTTCTATTATTATGCAATTAATTCTTCTTCTTTCTTTAAAGCGTGAGAGATAGTAATAGATTTACACTGTTGAATAGTTTTCAAATATCAAATCATTAGGCAAATCACAATGAAGTGACTTTTTTTGTGGTGCTGGGGTTTGAACTCAGGGCCTTAAGCTTGTTAGGCAAGTGCTCTACCATGTGAGACATTCTACCAACCCTTTCTTGTGTTTTGTGTTGGGTATTTTTGAATTAGGTTTTGGTTTTGTGGGGGACCCAGGCTGGCCTCAAATCATGATCCTCCTGATCTCTGCCTCCTAAGTAGCAAGGATTACAAGTGTGAGCCACCAGAGCCCAGCAATGTAGTGACTTTTTCTGGAAAAGTTGAGTGCGTGGCTTCAGTGAAAGGTTTCCCATGAATTCTTAGAGCCTAAGGAATTGAAACTCTAGTGGCACTGGATTCACTTGCAGATGTTGACAGAGATATTGCATCTGGAAGAAACTAAGCCACCCTGTTATCCACCAGTTCTCAAACTTGACAGAGGAATTGACTGGGGGAATGTGAAAATGCAGATTCTGGGATGCCACCCTTGGAGCTTCCAAGCTGATTGGTGTTGTGTATGACTGGACAAATGTCCCCCCTAAAGGATACTCTGATGTACAGCAAAGATCAAGAACCCCTTAATATTTCAAGTGGGAGAACTGAGGCATAACAGGTTCAAGAATGGGCCCTTTGTAGAAAGAATCAGACCCCACTGGTTGCTAAAAGAGGGGACTGGGACCTGGGTGTTCTCTATCCAGACAACAGAACAATTGGAGACTTTCTGTTAATTGGCTATTTTCACCCTAGCAAATGCACTGGCTGGGTGTAGGTCAGAACTCCGTGGCCTACTCTGGGTGGGTGATTGTCCAGATATGGATGAAACCAAATGATGCATATGATCTGTGGATCTCTAGCGAACTGGATTTGGTGAGCCTGAATCCCTCCAACTGCATTTTTTTATATTTCTCTTTAGCTAGCGGTATCAAGAAATCTGTATGCCAGGGTCTTGGTGATGGATGGACATTTGCTCAAGTCCTGTCTCAGCCCTTTTCCAACCGCAATAGAGACAAGCTGATGGGTCTTTTCTGGTTTCAGTCTCCTCTCCTGTAAAATGTGAATAATATTATATATCCACAGGGTTGCTGGAGGCTTCAAGGTCAGGTTATCTGACCTGCCATGGGGGTTAGGACAGAGTCTCTGGCTTGCTGTGAACTTAGAATGGAGGAAGTCTATGTCTTCAGAGCTCCCCACTCCCCTCTTGTGCTTTTTGCTTTCACCATAGCAACAGCTTTCTGGAACCACATGCTCTGCCTTGGCTGTCTTCCTTTCAGAACCCACACACAGGAAGGGACTGTAGTAAAATCATTTACTACAGAACACAGAGTTTCCTGCTGAACTCGACATGTTACGTAACTGAACATATTTGCATTTTCAGCTTTGCCACTACTTGTAGAACGAGAAGTTTTGCTGTGCCGGAAGGAATCCCAGGATCAGAGAGAAGACAGGAGAAACAGGGTGGCCCCTTGGGCCTAGCTCAGTCCTCTGAGGGGCTGAGGGTGAGGAGGGCCTGGCCCTGCCCTAGTTCTGTGAGGAACAGGGTTTGATGAGGTTGAGCTCTGTGCTTGCAGGCACCTGGAGGACTATGGCTCCCTCACAGCCTGGTTGTGTTATACGTTCTGGGAGAATGGGAGGAAGACTAGTCTTCTTGCCCACGTTATTACAACGTATTGGTGTTCTCAGGCTGGGGTAACAAAATGTCACCTATTGGGGTGCATAAAATGACAGAAATTTACTCTCACAGTTCTGGAGACCAGAGGTCTGAAAGCAAGATGCCAGCAGGGAGCATAGTCCTTCTAGAACTTCCAGGGAAGACTCTTTCCCTGCCTCTTCCAGCTTCAGGCTACTCTGGCCTCATGACTCCAAACTCTGCCTCCGTCTTCATGTAGCCTACTCTGTCTGTACGTCTCTCCTCTGTGTGTGTCTCAAATTCCCTCTGCTCTGGACAATCCAGGATAAACTCCTCAAGGTCTTTCACTTAACCACATATTTTCACGTCTAAGGTAGTAGTCATTGCCAGGAACAGTAATAGTCACAGGTTCTGGGAATCAGGAAGTAAGCATGTCTTAAGAGTCAGCACAGCATGAAATGAGAAAGCATGCCACCTCATGGCATGACTTTTGGTAAAATCTATTCTCATTTAAGCTAGAAGGAAGGTTGGCAGCTAAAGGGGGGGAGCAGGGAGTAGGACTCTATTTGGTGCACACTCTGACAGGGTCTCACTATGCAGCCCAGGCTGGTCTTGAACTTGCTAGGATTATAAGCATGTGCACCACATCCGATCTTTGGCCCCATTATTTTTTTGGCATCTTTGACTGACAAAGAAGTGAAATGTTACCACAAAGTAAAGTGGCAAAGCTAGAATTCCAGCCTAAACCTTTTTGATTTCAAATCCCATGTTCCTTCTATGGTAGTACATTTCTTTCTTGGTCAACTATAAAGTTTAAGGAAAAATGAAGGCATGAATGAAAAAATCAAATTCATGGTGCATTGATTTTCACAATCAAGCTGTTGTCTCATTGTGTTTTAGATTTTTAAAGCTCCCACACACAGATGTGCTGCTTTTAACTCCCAGTTTCTCATCTAAAATGGGAATGCTAAGCAAAAAGATCTGCACTTTGCTGAAAAAGCAAAAGTTAAAATTGCAGTGTGACAACCAGATGCCTCAAAAAGAAAAAGTAAGCAAAATTGGAAGGGGTTTTGGAAAGAGAGTAGGAGAAAGGCAGGCACAGGAGATAGGAAAGAGAGGAGACGGATCTGAACTAAGTTTGGGGCTCAGAGACCTTGAATGGGAGCCCAGAATGAAACCCAGGAGCACCGAGACCGGCTTTCAGATGACAGTTCAGATACAGGGAGACTG